AAAGCTCCTGGCTCCTGGCTTCAGATCGGCTCAGCTCCAACCATTGTGACCACCTGGGGTGAACCAGGGGATGGAAGACCTTTCTCTTGGTCTCTCCCTCTCTCTGTAACTCTACTTCTCAAATAACTAAAATCTTAAAAAAAGAACAATATGACATTTGATGTACAATGAATAGTACAGTTTCTCCTCAATGCCCTTAATGAATTGTGTCTCCTTTACAAAGACTCCAGAAGATGAAGCTTTTTCAAGGAAAAGATTCCTCAGGATAGTGGCCCCACTCATGGTAGTTAGATAATTAGAAGTTTGTATTGCTTTTTATTAAATGTTGCCATAGTAAATAATGCTTATTTTGGCTAACACAGCATACCATATACCCAAAGCTCTCTGGCTATGACAAATCAGTTTAAATATCCTAACCCAACTAATCCAGACTAACAATAGCTTTGAATTTACTTTTGTCCAACTGACTCTACCCCCTAGATAATACTTCATGTTGTACCTGAATTAACACAGAAGAAAATGATCTATACATAAGATGGAAGAAAAACCAACCTAGCTACCTGTGAAGACACAGGAAATTTTGGACTGAGAAGTCTTGGGTCATAACTAGGGAGACCTTCCAGTCCCTTCTCATCATCCTTGCAAGTATACTTGTTTGTCTCACAGGTGTTCTGGGCCTCTTCAGAACTTCACATGCTTCTAAACAATACTGTCCTTGGTGGATGATTCAATATATGATTAAGAAACAGGATAAAAATTCTATTGACCTAATGTACCATCTGAACATCAGATCTCCACAGAGGAAATTTCATCTTCCAGGAGAACCAATAGCAGTGAAAATCGGGACGATCCTTGATGATCTCTCCTGAAGCTTGGCTGAATGAGTGGGAGGGCAGAGAGGTAAATGCTCCTAAAAACTTAGGGAAAGACAGTGTTCTGTAGCCCACAGTTATTTGTTTTTTTGTTTTTATTTTTAAGATTTATTTTTTGGGGCTGGCACTGTGGCATAGTGGATAAAGCTGCAGCCTGCAGTGCCTGCATCCCATATGGGTATTGGTTCAGGTCCCAGCTGCTCCATTTCTGATCCAGCTCTCTGCTATAAACTGGGAAAGCAGTGGAGGATGACCCCAGTGCTTGGGCCCCTGCACCTGTGTGGGAGGCCCAGAGGAGGCTCCTGGCTCCTGCCTTCAGATCGGCATAGCACTAGCCATAGCGGCCCATTGGGGAGTGACCCAGCAGATGAAAGGCCTCTCTCTATCTCTCTCTGCCTCTCCTTCTCTCTGTGTGTAATTCTTTCATATACATAAATAAGCCTTTAAAAAAGATTTATTTTTATGTATTTGAAAGGCAGAGTTACATAGAGAGAAGGAGAGAGAGAGAGAGAGAGAGAGAGAGAGAGAGAGAGAGAGATGTCTCCATCTGCTGGTTCACTTCCTAAGTGGCCACAATGACCAGGGCTAGGCCAGGCCAAAGCCAGGAGCCAGGGGCTTCTTCCAAGTCTCCCACATGGGTATAAGATCCCAAGCAGTTGGACCGACTTCCTGCTTTACCTCTTTTTTTTTATCAGGTGCATTAGCAAGGAGCTGGATCAGAAGTGGAGTGGCTGGGGCTTGAACTGACACCCATAG